GCACTGACACACACACACTGTCCCCAGCACGTTTTCTGAAAAATCCCTTTGCCAGGATTTTTCTCCTGAGAAGCTTCAGAGGAAAAGAAAAACAATAATTATCTGCTGCTGTGGAATGCAACAGGCCCATATTTGATTTGTCTCATGTGGTTGTTTTTAATTAATGGCCAATCACAGTCCAGCTGGCTTGGACTCTCTGAGAGTCAGAAGCTTTTCTTATCATTCTTTTTCTTTTCTATTCCTTTCTAGCCTTCTGATGAAATGCTTTCTTCTGTTCTTTTAGTATAGTTTTAATAAAACATTTTCCTTTAATATAATATATATCATAAAATAATAAATCAGCCTTCTGAAACATGGAGTCAGATCCTCATCTCTTCCCTCATCCTGGGACCCCTGCAAACTCCACCACAACACACAGAGTGCTCACATCCTGCCTTCCCCAATCCCACCCCAGCACTGGGAACACCCCCAGCCATGCCCTGCCCAGCTCCTCTCTCCCCCACATTTCTGCTCCTGCCCAGGGAGAGATTCCCAAATGCCAGCCTGGTGCCTGGCTCTGCATAGTGCAGTTATTTTGCTGGAAGAATGGCCCACTATGACCAGTTCAGTCAGGAGGATGGCAAAGGGCCAGAGGAATATTCTGGAAACACCACAGAGGGCCCTGTGACCCAAGTGAAGCTGTCAGGAGCTCGGCACAAAGCTTGGGTACCTTGTGCTATGTTCTCATCATGGCAGCACCGACACCACCTCATTTATCATTACCTCTGCATCTGTGCCCCCTCTGGGACCAGGGAACACAGAAAGGAGCTCAACTTGAGCTCCATTTCAGCCCTGAAATCCCAGCTTCTCCCCAGCTCTCTGAAAGGCAGGTGGAGCTTAAGGAAAAGCTGAGCCCAAGTCAGAAAAGCCTGGATCATTGCTTTAGGTGTTCTGCCCCACAGTGCTGCCCAGGGAGCACTGCAGCACCAAATGAAGCCTGGTGTGAACCCAAGGGCAAAGGAACAATAAAAACAGTGAGTCTGGGTATTAAACAGTGAGTCTGGGTATTAAACAGTGAGTTTGGATATTAAATTGAGTTACAGGGACGTGAGGAGCCCACTCCCAGCTCACTTGGACAGCACATCCCAGTCCAAGCCCACCAACCCTGAAAGGTGTGGCAGGAAAGACCCAAACCAAACAATTCCTGCTGCTGAGCTGATGAAATCACAGCAATCCCTCCTGCTTCAGCTGCTTCTCTACTCATTGTGCAGAAATCATCTCCCAAGGGTCCAGCTGCTTTCTGGCTGCGCCCCTCATCAAAATCACTGCCCAGCACCAGACATGAAAAGGTTTTGCCTGACCAAATATGACAGAATCCTCACAGAGACTGAGCCCAGTGACTCCCAGAGAGCTCTGCACATTGTCCCTCACAGCAGCTGGCGTGTCAGCAATTAAATCACTTCTTTTAAATTACTCCCCCCACACACACACAGAGTTTCTATGTGTCATTAAAATCATCCCTGATGTACAAATAAATAAACAAAATGTAAAAGATGTAATAAGAAATAAGATGTAAAAATAAATAAATAATAAGATGTAAAAGTAATACTAATGAGATGTAAAGATAATAATAATAAGATGTAAAAATAAATAAATAAAATGCTTATTGGATTACACTGACAACACTTATACTTGTTGGATTTCTTCTCTTGTAGGTATTGATTTCTCTCCTTGCACAGCTGCCTCTGTCCCAGACAGGTCCCAGCCCTGCCTTCAGGACTCCCAGATCAGAGTTTGGCTAAAACAAGGGCAAAACTCAGGGGAAAGGAGAGAAGGGAACACAGAACTCCAGGAGATAAACCAAAGGTGTTTAATGCTGGCTGGGGAGGAGAGCAGAAAAAAATCCTCACTTACACAAAGCTGATGACAAGGAGCAGCTTGGAGACGCTCTGCAGGTGGAAGCCACTGGGGCTCTCCTCAGGGATGTGCCGTGTCTGAGTGGAACCTGAGGAGACGGGGATGCATTTGGGATGGGACACAGGGAAAGGAACCCCTGATCCTCTACCCACCCAACAACCCCGACACTCCCCTCTGTGAGCAAACCCTGCTCACCTGCCACGTGCTTGATTCGATGGGCGACCTCCTCATCCGTGGGGGTGGTCACGGGGCTGAGCACCTCCTCCAGGTGGGGCACCCTCAGGTGGGCGTGGGCGCGTTTCCGCCGCCGCACCGTGGATTGCTTGCTCACCTTCTCTTTGGGGGATTGTCTGTGCACCTCAGCCAGGTACGTGCTCTCTGTTTTGGTCAGCTCGCTCTCTGCAGCACCAAGGGGGAGAATTTGGGAGAGAGAGAAAGGGTGAACCCCTCTGCTGTGATGCCTTAGGATTTTAGATTTCTATTTTTCACATATTTGCAGTTCTTTAGTGTGTAACTCCACAACCAGTGTGAGCTGGCTCTCCCATTCAGGGCAGACACAACAATTCCTCTCCAGGCCTGGCAATCAAGGATACTTGATCTGTTTTGGTCAGCTCACTCGCTGCAGTACCAGCGGGGAGCATTTGATAGAGACAGAAAGGTTTAACCTGTCTGCTGTGATGCCTTTGGATTTTAANTATTATAAGATACTATATTATATTGAAGAAGGTTAATTTATTATTTTAAGATACTATATTATATTAGAGAATTGTTTCAAGATACTATATTATGTTAAAGAAGGCTAATTTATTATTTAAAGATACTATATTACAGAATTACTATATTATATTAAAGAAGGCTAATTTATTATTTTAATTTATTATTTTAATTTATTATTTTATTTTATTTATTAATTTATATGATATTAAGGAATTATTTTAAGATACTATATTATATTGAAGAAGGCTAGTTTATTATTTTAAGTTACTCTGTTATATTAAGGAATTATTTTAATTATTGTATTGTATTATTAAGATACTGTATATATATTATGTATATATATTTTAATTAAAGAATTATTTTATCTTAAAATACTAAATTAGCTTTCTTCAATATAATATAGTGTCTTAAAATAATTCTTTAATATAATAGAGTAAGACACTATATTATATTAAAGAAGGCTAATTTATTATTTTAAAATACTATATTAAAGAATTACTATATTATATTGAAGAAGGCTAATTTATTATTTTATTTTATTTTATTTATTAATTTATATGATATTAAGGAATTCTTTTACGATACTATATTATATTAAAGAAGGCTAATTTATTATTTTAAGTTACTCTATTACATTAAGGAATTATTTTAAGATACTATATTGTATTGAAGAAGGCTAATTTATTATTTTAAGATAATATACCATATTAAAGAATTCTTTTAAGATCCTATATTATATTGAAGAAGGCTAATTTATTATTTTATTTTATTTATTAATTTATATGATATTAAGGAATTCTTTTAAGATACTATATTATACTAAAGAAGGCTAATTTATTATTGTAAGATACTATATCATTTTAGAGAATTATTTTGAGATACTATATTATATTAAAGCATTATTTTAAGATACTATATTATATTATATTAAAAATGGCTAACTTATTATTTTAAGATACTATACCATATTAAAGAATTATTTTAAGATACTATATTACATTGTAGAAGGCTAATTTTTTATTTTAAGATACTATGTTGTATTAAGGAATTATTTTAAGATACTCTATTATATTAGAGAATTCTTTTAAGATACTATATTATATTAAAGAAGGCTAATTTAGTATTTTAAGATAAAATAATTCTTTAATATAATAGAGTATCTTAAAATACTAAATTAGCCTTCTTCAATATAATATAGTGTCTTAAAATAATTCTTTAATATAATAGAGTAAGACACTATATTATATTAAAGAAGGCTAATTTATTATTTTAAAACACTATATTAAAGAATTACTATATTGTATTAAAGAAGGCTAATTTATTATTTTATTTTATTTATTAATTTATATGATATTAAGGAATTATTTTAAGATACTATATTATATTAAAGACGGTTAATTTATTATTTTAAGATACTATATCCCATTAGAGAATTATTTTGAGATACTATATTATAATAAGGAATTCTTTTAAGATACTATATTATATTGAAGAAGGCTAACTTATTATTTTAAGATACTATATGATATTAGAGAATTCTTTTAAGATACTATGTTATATTAAAGACGGTTAATTTATTATTTTAAGATACTATATTGTATTAAGGAATTATTTTAAGATACCATATTATATTGAAGAAGGCTAATTTAGTATTTTATTGTATTTATNAATGCACACAGGGGGAATGCACACTTCAGCTTCACCTGTTTCACACAAAAGTGAGAGCCCAGAGCTCTGGTGTGACAGGGAAGCCCCTGACACCCCCAAACCCCAAGGGGAGCCCCAGCAGGGGTGGCTGTACCTCTCCTGCAGCCTCAGGCCCTGCCACGCCGTCAGCGTCTGCGTGGTGTACTCCAACATCCAGAGCTTGTAGAACAGCATCATGTTGAGAATGACCAGCAGCACCAGACTGCAGAGAAAAGAAGAAAAAATCCAATTCAGGAGCATCTCACAGCCAAACTGCCTGCCAGGAGCACCTGGGACAACACCCAGCCCTGAGGAAGGTGTCTGAGCTCAGTCCATGCTGTGAGTGGGGATTTAATCTGAGTGAGCAGCCCAAACTTCACCTCGTGGAAGAAATGTGAGAGCCAGGAGGACAGACAGACAGACAGACAGACAGAACAGGCTGGGTGAGTGGATGTGCGGAATGCAGAGAAAGGGAGGGAGATGGGAGAGTAAAGAGGTAAAAAAAGAGAGAGACAGTACCTGAAACAGATCCTAATGGGAGCAGGGAAGAGAAAAGACGGAGCAGCTGCAGGTTAGAAACAGAGAGACACAAACTGGGCTGGGAGGGGGAGGCTCAGACAGCGCAGGGGAAAGGAGCAGAGGGGAGAGAGGCAGGAAGGACAGACAGGGATCCGTGAGCCTGCACTGCTGGTGAAGCTCCCTCAGCACAGCTGAGCTCCTGGGGACAGCAGGTGGCTGTGCAGGCACTGACACACTCACAGTGCTCACATCCAGCCTTCCCCATGCCAGTGAGGCACTGACACACTCACAGAGCTCACATCCAGATTTCCCTATGAGGCACTGACACACTCACAGAGCTCACATCCAGCCTTCCCCATCCCCAGAGCAGGCACTGACACACTCACAGACCTCACATCCAGCCTTCCCTATGAGGCACTGACACACTCACAGAGCTCACATCCAGACTTCCCCATTCCAGTGAGGCACTGACACACTCACAGAGCTCACATCCAGCCTTCCCTATGAGGCACTGACACACACACAGAGCTCACATCCAGCATTCCCCATTCCAGTGAGGCACTAACACACTCACAGAGCTCACATCCAGATTTCCCTATGAGGCACTGACACACTCAGTGCTCACATCCAGCCTTCCCCATTCCAGTGCAGGCACTGACACACTCACAGAGCTCACATCCAGCCTTCCCCATTCCAGTGCAGGCACTGACACACTCACAGAGCTCACATCCAGCCTTCCCCATTCCAGTGAGGCACTGACACACTCACAGAGCTCACATCCAG